GCATATATAGGGTCACGATACAATTTACTGTTAGATGAAATTGAATTGAATCTAACACAAATTCAAGTTGATTACATTATGATCCCTTTATTTCATCCATCTACTTTGTTTCTATACAAATCGAATTACTGTGATTCTTAATACTCTTTAGAATTAAAATGAATTTTAATTATTCATAATTCACACACAAATTTCCATTACATGGATGATTAACCAATTTTTGTATGAGAATTCAGTAAAACTGGTAAATAAATTTGATATGATGGAAAGAAAAGTCAATTTTCGATTGATTTACTCATTATGCGGCTTGGTTCAACATTACTTCCGGATCAGTCTTGCAAATTGAACGCCATATTCGTTTCCTAAGCTATTCTGTAACCCCCAAGCTAGAACTATACAGCGACCTGAACAACGAGAGAGAAGACTCAAAGTATGCGAGAATTAGTTTACTCCAAGGTTCATTTCAATACAGAAAATACAGGGTTTTTATAATATTTTAAATGTTCTTAGGTTGCCAGAAGATTCTGGAATGCTACCAAACATAGTAGCAGTATAGCAATCAGCCAATCAGAACCTCTTCATGTGACGTTTCACTTCCTTGATATTTTGGCTAAAACCTCAAGTGAACGCTGATTGGATGGAACGCTTCATAGTGTTTCCTGATGCTTGCTTGTCTTTTGCAAGAAATTTTCTTGATCACTCCAACACTTCCGTTCGGATTCAATGTGATGATTACTCAATGTAGCATTTGTTTTGTTTTCCCAGTATGATATTTTATTTTGTATAATATACGATATTCTTGTATTCGATTGACATGAACTATGCTCAATATGTGATTTGTTATATATGTGATTTCATCCCAAATATTAATCAAAAATGGATGTACAATCAATATATAAACGAGTGTATTTTCTACTAGAATCATCGTCGTCATCGTCATAGTGTCTTGGGGTTAATAAATCATCACTTATAACAGTCTTTGTGTTTTTATTTTCGCGTCGTGGGAATTGCAGAAGTCCCTCGTGTCGAGCATAAGTGATAAGCGTTTCCGACATAACAATCAGCGACCACCAGATATAAACAGTAGCATTAAAAGAGTCAAGACAATAAGCATTCAAACAACAAGTTATAACAAAATTAATTCAGACTGATAAGTACAAGGTGGAACTAGCTTAGTTATCATAAAGATGTTTATGTAATGAATTAGCTTTGTTAATCAATCACCTTGATAACCGTTATTATATATAAATCTCAACGGTGTTAGTAGATAGTATTACTTCGAAAATTAATTGATTTCAAATATTATTGATGTGAACAGAGAAATAAAATAAGCCATGACAAACAATAACTCCGCCTGTAGCTCTTATAGGGTTACTGCCGGTCCCAAGCCCGGGTAAAGGAGGAGGGTTGGGCATAGGGTTAGCGTCCCCATCCCGTAGAAAACTAACTCGCTAAAAAAACGCTTACCAGAAAAAATAATCCAAACAATTTAAACTCTGCCCTGGGAGTTAGAAGGTCTTCATTTAGAAGAATTATGACACTTCATGGTGAAAGCCGAGTTCCTTCGGAAGCCACGAGGCCGATGCCCCTTCTAACAACCAGAGCAAAAAATTTTATAAGTACATGGAACGTTCGAACAATGTGGGAAACCGGGAAGACCAGTCAAATAGCAATGGAAATGAGGAGATACAACTTAGCAGTACTGGGAATCAGCGAAATACACTGGACCCAAGCTGGACAGAAAAGGCTAGCTATGGGAGAGATGCTGCTATACTCCGGTCACGAAGAGGACAATGCTCCACACACTCAGGGAGTCGCTCTTATGCTGTCCAAAGTAGCACGAAATGCACTTGTAGGATGGGAATCTCACGGATCCAGAATCATCAAAGCATCATTCAAAACAAAGGAGGAGGGGTTCTTAATGAATATTATCCAATGTCATGCACCCACAAATGATAGCAACGACGACATTAAAGATCAGTTCTACGAGTTTGTTCTAACAGAACATGTTGCCTGAAATGCCTCAGAAGATATGATGAAGCTAACAGGGTAAATCATGTGTAAAGTGCAATTCAAAGATCAGAACTTTAATGACGTCTGTCATTTGATGAATCGGCATGATCTAGATCTATTAGGCTTAGACTAAATCGAGAAAATTGGTACTTTGGAAAAATTATTAAATAAGGCATGTTCTCGTAACCCGTCCCCTGAATCAAATGCCCATGATGTAACATGTTTTCAGGAAATTCCTGAATTAAATACCTCCAATGTGATACGTTTTCATAATGATTTCAAATCAAATGTCTCCAATAAAATATGCTCTTATGAGATTTCAAAATCTCATGCATTTTACCTTAATGGTATTCCCACGCCCAAATCCACCATTTCCTTTCAAATGCCGACCGCATCTCATATGAATTATCTTCGGTAAAAGCATGCAGCTATATTCAAAAACAAACTGGGTTGCTTTAAGTTCACCAAAGTATTTTTGTCACTAAATCAAAACACAAAACCCGTCTTCATACCAAAAACGACCAGTGTCTTATGCTGCTCTGTCAGTCATCGATCAAGAACTTGACAGATTGGAAGGGCTAAGTGTCACTCGGGTAGTAAATTGTTCAATGTGGGTTGCTCGCATAGTCGTTTTGCGAAAGGTATGTGCTGAATTTTCCAGTGGTTTGAATAATGTCCTAGAGGGTCACACCTGCCCACTTTTCATACACGAAGATTTATTTGTCAAACTAAATGGAGAGAAGTATTTTGCAAAAACTGATCTTGCTGACGTATATATCCAAATATTGCCCCATGCTCTACACTACCGTGTAGAAGTCAAGCGTTCGCGTGCCAGACCGAAGGTCCTGGACTCGATTTTCTTGTGTGAAGTCATTAACGCACACAGCAGGAGAATCTCATACTAGGACAGAACGGCCATCTAATACCTCCAGTTTTCTAATAATGGTTCGTGATTCGTGCCTGACATTCTTACCATTCAGCTGTAGATTATTGTCCTTGTGATATAAACTAACTGACCAGTGAAAAGGAATGGGCCCTTTTATTGCTATTTTGACGGTTGTTTCTTAATTATTGCTAAGGTTTTTCTTACTATAAACGTTTAAATGAAAAAATATAATGGAATAACTTTCAATTCCGTTTTTTGCTCTTAACATTTTATACTACTTACAAGTAGTTACTATTTCATCCTTAAAATATCTGATATAATCAGCGATAATGGTGGAAATTTGAATGTCAATGGGTAAAGCTTAGAAAATGGTCATATGAAATATGATTATTATGAACCACTACAATCGATATACCATAAATGGAATGCATAAAATCGGGTATTATTTATTACTTAATTCATATATCATATTGCACTACCATTAATGGTAAGAATCAATTACAGAATTTAAAATCACTATTGACATTTTCGGTAATTACAACTTTAAAGGCAAGTCTACAGTCTGAAATTCAACACTCAAATAACTATATTATTCTGTTGAACTTACTGAAGCCAATACAAAATTGCATGTTTGTATCGTATTAATAGATGACCCAACCGTTGTTTCTACCTTGACGTGGTGGTCGGGCTTGCCTATCGTGATGAAGCAACCGAGCTACACTGGCTGGAATAACCGTTTCTCAAGGTCCTACCATGCCAGACAGGTCAATTGAAGAGCAGTAAAACTAAAAGCAAGAAACCTAAGGTCCGAAGGCGAAGTTGTACTGCTGACTGTACAGAGGTGTGATAGCAGTAAGGTGTTTCTTTCAGACAACCAGAATAACAGCGATGCTGCCTTCACACAAGGAAGGGGTGGGGTTAGAAGAGGTCGACCCTAAAAATGCACACCTCATGTTATCCCATGAATAATCTTTTCCGATGGTAAGGTCTCAACAAGTACGGAGCTAACACTAAAATCACTTTTGATTGAGATCATGAACCGATTGATGTTAGACCACCATGGAAAACCTGGAAGCACTGGACAGCCGTCCCGTCCTATTGCGGGACTCATCAACAGTGAGCATCCACGATCCCGCCCGCGCGATTCGAACCCAGTGCCTTCAGTCTCACGTGCGAATGCCTAACCTAAAATGACTCACAAAAGTATCGTGCGTCACCAGCCATAAGTAGTTGTCCCTTGGGCACTGAGGTCACGCTCTCAGGTCATTAAGACCACATTTAATCCAATTTCGTCTTCAGGTATCTCCAGAAGAACCCTTCTATGGTGTGGGCAATCGGAAAGTGATAACTTCCCTCATACCTCTGACAGCACACAAGACCATTGATTAATAGATGATCTGTTGAAATTATATTCACTCATAGATTTAACTAATTTGCTAATGTTAAAATGACTAAAATTTATAAAGACATTGATGAGTCCTACATAGGACGAAACGTCCATTATACACTCTCTTATTCATCACAAATCTATTTATTCTATCAAAACGATTGAATTAGTTTTTGAAAAAAATACAATAAAAAATAGATTTATATTTTAATAGTTGGTTTTTTTTATACAAAATAATAAAATAAACTCTTTTTATTCAAATGATGGAATATCTGAAGGGTCAATGTTTTCTTTTAACTGAATAGTTTACTGACAGTATATCATTGTTCTCAACTGTTTAACATGTAACAAAAATGACTAATTATAAAGATTAGTTTCAATTTCAATTTGGAAAGGACAGAAGGTTTTTATGGCCTGATCATGATAGTCTTTCAGTTGATCCAACTTTCTTTTGAAAGAGTCCATGGATCTAATTTTAACCATGTGTTGAGGTAATGAATTCCACTCGTTGATTCATATGTATATGTATATACATATTATTAAAGATCAATTATTTGTTTTTTTTTCTATCAGTAATTGACTACAAATCTGAATTACATATAAATTTAAAACACCGAGTGGGGGGGAATAAGGGAAAGAGGGAGAGAGAGAGAGGGAGGGATGGGGTGAGTGAGTAAGGCAAAGGAAACAAATATATAATTACAATAATAATAATCAACAATATGAAGAACTTGAAAAACATACATAATTTTGTGAATTATTATTATCCCAATATTCAAAATTATTACCTCTATATACTACAGCAAATTCTAATTGATAAAATTTAGTTTCTAATGGAATTGTTGATAAAATAATTTCAGATTCATTTGTTTCTATCCATTGATATGTATTACTGTTAGTTACTAAGTGACTTGATTGATCAATATGTATTAATGATGGAGATTCTGTATATGTTCTCCAATTATCTAATGTATAACGTAATTTCACTTCTTTTGTTATATCTAAATGATTTGGTTGTGTATCACTTATTGTTTTTACTTGTACATTAAATGAATATAAATTTTGTGAATAAAATTGTGATAGACATACTTTTTGTTCTAGAAGACGTTGATTAAAATTAGCACATTGTATAGGATTAGGAAATGTCGGTTCCCATTTCTAAAAAAAGACAAAACAAGTTTAATATAATCAGAAATTGGTTTTGTAGATATTATAATTTATGAGTCCATGAAGCTAGATAATTATGAAAAACCTGGAAGCACTAGACAGTCGTTTCGTCCTAGTATGAGACTCCTCATTGGTCTAGAGGTTGGGCGTTCGCGCATGACACCGATAGGTCATTGGTTTGAATCGTTCGGGGAGGGATCGTGGACATGCACTGTTGATGAGTCCCATATTAGGAAGAAATGGACATTCAGTGCTTCCAGGTTTGCCATGGTGGTCTAGCTTTAATTGTTTCATGAACTCAACTACTAAAATGATGTGAAATAAAAATTTTAATAAATGAATAAATGAAAATTTGGTTAAAATGTTTAGACATCTATTATTTCATGATATAAGATGGTTTTTGGAAGTAGACGACAGGAAACGCTAGATCTAGGTTTCTTGCTACTTGACACTCATCAGCGAAGTGTACTTGTAATCTTGAGGAAACTGATGCTTCCTGACGGATTCGATTCCATTTCACCCAGTTTCACAGTTAGAGACGTTACCACGGGGCTATCCAGGCCATGACTGACTTCCTGTAGGACTGAGATCTATTTACTATTGATTGATTGATAAGATTTGATATGCACTAAGAACAACCTAACGCATATGACATTGATCACCACTCAGTGATCAATCAGTTGTAAATTTCATGGTATATCAAGGAAGTGGAAAAAATGAAGTCAATCATAAAAGTTTATGTTTTATTTAACTTTCAAGAATATCATGATATTTTTGAATACAGTCTAGAACTATGCTGTAAATAAATATTGAATTAATCGTCAATAGTCGGCTGCATTCGGTCGTACACAGACATAATCGCAACACTACAAGTCATCGTTGAATAATCAATTAAATGGAACACGTCACCATACATCAACTTCCTTGACTATCAAAATGCATTCGACAGTGTGGACAAGAGAACATTATGGTATACCTATGGAGAACCTGAGAAAATCGCAAACATTATATGGAATTCATACGACAAACTGTAGTGTAAAGACGTGCATGGAAAACAGCTGATAGATACATTCCAATATTACATGCCAAGAAATGTCAAACAAGTATTCCACTTTTTTATTTAGAAGCTACTCAGAAATAAAACTTATTAAGACTGGAATGGGAACATGTTAATCCCTGAAAGGTATCATGTAAGTAAACTTCTTGAGGGTAATAATCGAGATCAAAATCAGTAAAGAGGTATATCATGTTTAACAGTCTAATCAAATCTATACTATGCTAATTCAATCATATTTGGATGTTGACTTTAGAAAGTAGGACAACATAAGTCAGTTCGTTATATGTGAATCATGTGAAAAGTTCACAATGTGAAAACAAACAAATGGAGTGTGTGTGCATGTGAATGTCTGTGTAAGTTTGAGTTATTATTAGTTGATATTATGTGCTAATTTGTTTTTCTATGAACATTTCGGAGAGCATTAAGCTAACACAGAAAATAAAAACTAGCGACCTCAGAAAGGATAGTATTGAACTAGCAGCTACATGGCAAATATTCGTTAACAATTAATTGAACCCATTCTCTATCCAACCTGTTTATTTCACATGCATCGTTATTCTGACTGAAATTAATGTGGTCTGTTATAGCAATAAACAATTATGTATTTCACTGATTGAAATCATGAGTCAATTGAAGTTAGACCACCATGGAAAATCTGAACGGCCGTTTCGTCCTAGTATGGGACTCCTCAACAGTGCGCATCCACGACCCCACATCCCATGAGATTAGAACCCAGGACCTATCAGTCCTAACCAACTAGACCACTGAGCCGGCATCCAACGGTGTTAATGTCTAACTTCAACCAATCCACAAAGTTGCGCCAACATACACCGTTGTCTTCAGTAAGTGTATTTGATGATTCTCATTTTACGTGCATATCGGTTATTCAGAAACAACTTTTTCAACCTTCAACTTGCACTTTTATTTTTCCTTCATAGAAAAACAAATTAGCACATAATATCAACTAATAATAACTCAAACTTACACAGACATTCACATGCACACACACTCCATTTGTTTGTTTTCACATTGTGAACTTTTCACATGATTCACATATAACGAACTGACTTATGTTGTCCTACTTTCTAAAGTCAACATCCAAATATGATTGAATTAGCATAGTATAGATTTGATTAGACTGTTAAACATAATATACCTCTTTACTGATTATGATTTTGGTTATTACTCTGAAGTTAGTTGGACGAAACGTTGAAATTATTTAAATTTCAATCTCTAAGATTATTTCAAATATAATTGTCACATATAACGACGTCCCTATACTAGGCGCTCAATTTTTGTCAAAAAATTTGTTCTGATATCGACAAATATTCGTATAAGTATACTAAGGTTTATTGAAGCCTTAACTATACGAAAATTCTGCCACTCTTTACCTGTTAAAAATACATTGTTCTCACATTAAACCTAACTTGGTAATATTAGCTTTTTATCCTGCATGATGAGTTTTCCCATTGTTTTTAATATTGTGTTCTTTGTTATCTTTCTTTCCTATTAACCTTCATTTTCAATCTCGTTGACGTTTTAATTTTTCGCATATAAACATTCTTAACAAGTATGTGTGTTTAAAGATGAGATTGTTCGAAATGTATTGCGTTAATATATGCATTTGGTTGAAATCATGAGTCAATTGAAGCTAAAACACCATGGAAGCACTGGAAGGCCGTTTCGTCCTAGCATGAGAATCCTCAGCAGTGCGCACCCAAAATCCCGCCCCCCGCGATATTCGGACCCAAGACCTATGATTTCAACTATTGAAATTACTAAAATCTCCACAAAACCCCTTCTGATAATATCAATATAGGGCTGATAATCTTCATCTTCTTATTACACTGTCTAAATTTATCAAAGGGACTAATTGCTTCAAATTTAAGTATACTTGAACAGTTTTTTTATCACCCTATTTAACATTACCTATATTAGGATAGGTAGGAAACTAGGCGATGTTCATAGAAGATAAAAAAAAACATAATTTGATGTTACATGAATAATAACGATATTTGTTAAGCCTTAATAACTTGCACTAACTTGAGAAATGTTCATATGTTCACTGTAAATAAACCGATAGGTCTGTCTAGAATCAAATAAATTTTATTCTTTATTATTCATTCTGATTATTAGTTGTAGGTATAAGTTGAAATTTAAATTCCTGTCGAAGATTATTCTTACATACAAAACACATGACAGAAGTATTAAGCAATAAGAGATTTGATATTTTCTAGAGCTTTTGAACAGATTATTAGTTATTGGTATGGATTTGAACAAATTAATGAATATCTGGACTAATCAATATGATGGATAACATGATGATATTGCCTGCAAATGCTCTAGTACGGCCGAGGGTGACGAGAGTCCACTCTCACTCTCGAAATGCTCTCACATATCCAAAAATATACAGCCACTGCCAGAGAAGTCCTACTCACTGCCTTCTTGCGGTAGGGGTGTTATGCATTACGAAATTGAGAGGACAAAAATGTCCAACACTTTAACCGGTTTGGCGGATACGGAGTGTCCAATTAGGGAAGTTGGAAAGCCCTGATTCCGAACCAATGGTGCACATGGGATACAGGATCTTGAAGGAAGAAATGGCATATCAACCAATCGTTGGCCATGGGCTACCGTGGGACTGTATCTCTTGAGGTTGCTCCAGCGCCTTGTGGATCACACCTTTAGGTCGAAGGCTCCGGGTGTGGCCACCTAAGAAAACCATCCGCTTCGGTCTAGGCACCCGGGCAGTATCACATCCCACACACAAATCAAGTGACTTGTGTGCCGCATATGTATTCGGTGCCCCTTTGATGTATGTTGAATTGGACATTTAGAAGCATAGGTAGATTGGACGACATTTATAAAATGAGATTGTAAGTTATCATTGTATCAAGTTGACAAGCAGAACCAAATAAATGTGAGAAAGTAAAGTGTCATGTTACCCATCCATCCTTTACTTAATTGTGAATGATGGTGATGTTCAGAAATGCGAAAACTAGTTGTATTCCCATTATGAATGGTTTTATGGGAACAGTTAGACTGGTAAACAAGTACAAAAGTCGCGAAATTTAGTAGATATTGTACACCTAAAGAAAATCATTGATAGTTACCAAAATTTAAGTAACAACAAATATTGAGGTGTCGGTAGATATAAGTAGTATGTATCATTAATCGAAGGTGAAGTGCCTAGTAGTATAAGGTTAAGAAGATCGAAGAAAAGAAAATCAGAACAGTGAATGATTGTTGTAGAAATAAAGGAACAATGAAGTTTGAAACAATTGACTAATATATAGCAAATTAAGTATGGTTGTCAGATATACTAAGAGATTCTGTAATTCTGTGTTGAAATACATTCTATTGACCTCCACTTGTGTTCTCGTTCACTATAGTATCACTACCATAAAAAATGTATGGTTGAACGAACCTGTTATTATACAGTTTTACATCATTGTTTGACAAGCATTGCAAATAAGGAGATAATGAACAGCCGTTTTTACATAGTATGATATTCCACAGTGCCAATCTTGCCTTACTTTTCAGTGGACAACGAAGTGACCACCACCAAAGGATTGATATTAGCAAGCTGGTTGCAACCTCTGTTGCAAATAAGTATCGAACCGAGCTAGCTTCTAGGCTAGCTACCACTCCACCGAAAAGTATAGATGAGCATTGGTTGCAATTGCATGACGCCATGAAAATGGCGGGAACAGTCAGTTGTAGGTTTGCGAAACGTCCCGCTTATAAGCACTGGGTTTCTTCTGGTTCCTTACAACTTATTGAAGCCCGTCGGTCGACTCCGGGTGACCGTGAGTTTGACCATAAACGAAGGATGTTACGTAGGGAAATTGGGCAAAGCTTGCGTAAGGACCGAGAAGCCTGGTGGTCGGAGTGTGCTAATGAGATGGAAGCAGCAGCTGCATCTGGTAACTACCGGAAGCTCTTCCAGCTCATCCGAGCCACTGGCAGCAAGAAGTCTGGTGTGAGTGAAACAATCTGCGAGGATGATGGGATACCAATCACTAACATCCATCGACGTCTTGGACGATGGGCAGAATTTTTCGAAGGGCAGTTCAACTGGCCTGCTGCTCCGGCAACATCGGTCAGACTGTCCTGCCCTCCATGGCCGGTGACGACTGATCCACCGAACGAGGAGGAAGTCCGCAAGGAACTCCAACTCTTGAAGCGTTACAAATCACCTGGCCCAGATGACTTACCTCCGGCTCTTTTTAAAGATGGTGGTGACTTTTTGACTAAGGAGTTGACGACGTTGTTTACAAAGGTTTGGGAATTAGAGAGTGTACCAACGTCATGGAATGAGTCGATAGTTGTCCCTATCTTTAAAAAGGGTTCACGTCGTTCCTGCAACAACTATCGGGGGATAAGTCTACTTCCGATTGCGTCCAAGCTATTGGCTTCCGTCATACTTCGTAGGTTGTTCAAAACCCGAGAAAGATTGACTCGCGAGGAGCAGGCTGGGTTTCGTTCTGGTCGAGGTTGTATTGATCATATCTTCACCCTCCGCCAAATGTTAGAACATCGCCATACTTATCAAAGGCCAACAATCGTAGTGTTTCTTGACATCAGGGCTGCCTTCGATTCGTTGGACAGGACTGTTCTCTGGGATTGTCTATTGAAGAAGGGTGTGCCTGAGAAGTTTATTAACATCCTAAAAGCCCTATATAAAAACACCTCAGGCAGAGTGAGGGCATACAACCACCTCTCTCCATTGTTCTATACGAGTAGTGGGGTTAGGCAGGGTTGCCCAATCTCACCATTCCTCTTCAACTTTGCCATCGATGACATTCTGGAAACAGCTCTGATGAATGTAAGTAATGGTGGTGTGGATCTGTTGCCTGGAGAAAGACTTCTCGACCTTGAGTATGCGGATGATATTGTCTTACTGTGCGATAATGCCCAAGGCATGCAATCCGCACTTAATCAGTTGGCAATCAGTGTCCGTAGGTATGGTATGTGTTTTGCACCTTCGAAGTGCAAAGTACTTCTACAAGACTGGCAGGATTCCAATCCTGTACTCACCCTGGATGTTGAGCAGATAGAAGTAGTCGAGAAGTTCGTGTATCTGGGTAGCTACATAAGTGCTGGTGGGGGTGTGAGTGATGAGATCAATGCACGTATAGTGAAAGCCAGAGCGGCTTATGCCAATCTGGGCCACCTTTGGCGCCTTCGTGATGTTAGTCTGGCTGTAAAAGGTCGGATCTACAACGCGTCGGTGAGAGCAGTTTTGCTCTATGGTTGTGAAACCTGGCCTCTCCGAGTTGAGGACGTTAGACGACTCTCTGTGTTCGATCATCGCTGTCTCCGAAGGATTGCTGACATTCAGTGGCAACACCATGTTAGTAATGCAGAGGTTCGGCATCGTGTGTTTGGGCACAGAGATGATAATTCAATTGGTGTCACCATCTTGAAACACCGACTTCGGTGGCTTGGACATGTTCTACGAATGTCGTCCCAGAGAATTCCACGTCGTGCATTGTTTGCCGACTCTGGGACTGGTTGGAAAAAGCGGAGAGGTGGTCAGTGCATGACATGGTGTCGTGGTATGAAAGAAAGCTGCAAAGGACTGGCTTCTGTCGGTCCTTCACGACTCCCTGGTTGGGGTCTGAGAGATGGTGCTACACAGTGGCTAGAGACGTTATCAGATATGGCTCAGAATAGAAGCCAGTGGCGATCCTGCTGTAACCTTCTTTTACTTTCTTCATAAAAAGTGGTTGTGTCTCCCTTACTTGAAAGATTTCTTCTGATTGTACCTTTCCGTTCCATCGTTACGACCGCACTACCTTTCACCAATCTCTTTGTTATCGTTCTCTTTTTCTTTTGTGCTCCTTAGTTTTTTTTTTCTTTTTTCTCTTCGAATTTTCATTGTTTTGTGTGGCGCATATATATTGGCGCTCTCTTGTACCAATATTTATGTGTTCAAATAAATAAATAAATAAAACAAGACTTTCAGATCACTTGGTGAGTGCATAACTCAGTTATAAATATTTGAAAGTTATAACCTAGTATACCATGGCTAGCTCATTTGATAATTTTAAGTTAATTAAGGTAAGTAAAAGTATTTCATTGATTTTTATGACTGAATTTATAGTACTGATGGTTTCAGTAGTTGATGATATTGTTATGTCTTTGTATAACATCTTTCACCATTTGAATTTAAAGACCATTTATGCTCTTTCATATGTTTTAAATTAAACTCGTCTATACATTTATTTTGGAGTTAGCGTGTATATGACTCCTAGATAATTATTGAACTTTGTTTTATCTCTCAGTCCCATCCTATCCATATTTAAATGATCTAATCTACTAAAATTCTAAAAAAAAATATATAAAACCGGTAGTAACTAAGCTGTATAATAATAATTTAACAAACTGTGGTCGTAAAAGTTACTTAAGTAAATTTGAAAATCATTATGATGTTATATTCAATGGGAAAATGCGTACTTATACAACGTTGAAAATATCAGTTAGTACCAGTTAATTTAGCACTCTGATAACGATAATATCCAACTGTTTTAAACGTCTAGTTTACAGTAGTCTGCATTATCCTGATGTTGATATTTTACCTAAAATTTGATCAATCTTTGTTGACACATGTGTATTCCATGCGGACTGTCTGAATATAGCCATTATGTTACAACGTTTTGTAGAGTAGATGTAATGTGGCAATCAGTGAAATCCGGCACCTACGTTTCGTTACAGAGTTAATGTTCATCCCGGGGTCAGAACCCAGTACCTTTTGCTTCAAACCCTCATTGGATAATCCAAAGAGCTACAGAGTACTAATAGCTCTGGGATTTATGCTCAGCTAACTGAACAGTCCCAAATAAGATCAAACACGCGTCCTAGATCCCACCTCTAGCCACATCACATCTCTTATATAAAAAGATTGTGACAATATAGGTACATTGAAGAAATCCGCATAGGATACACATATGCTAAACAGACCTAATCACAATTCAATCAAAATATCATCAACCGGGTAATCAAAACGACTATAAAATAAATTAAAATTGCTACGTGTTGTACTAGTAAGTTCCTATCTGAACTTGTGAGCTCAATGGGTAACATGTTGAAGTTTGAAGCTAAATGTACTGAGTTCAAGTCACAGTGTGAACTTAAACACTGAAGTCCAGATAGATTCAGCAGACAAATCTGAAATAGGATGAAATATAGGTCACCAATTTCACTTCTGATCATAGTTCATCTATCCTAGAAATACCTACTGAACCATATATAGTAAGTAATTATTTTTTGTCATAATTACTATTTTGTTAAAAAACTTCCAATTCACCGATAATTCCTTGGATAGTTCAAAGTAACGAATGGATATACGGAAAAAAGTATACGTTTCTTTTCTTAGATTATTTAAACATATAAAAACTATTGACAATTCATCTTTGCAACAAAATGATCTATTATTAGTATCCTTTTGTTTGAATCGAATAATAACATGTTAATTTCCGGTGTTAGAAACTTTCTATTTGGTGATTTAATTGTAAGAGGTTATCAATTCATCTAATGATTATCTCATTAAAATAGCCAAAGTTTTCAACCAAAAAGCTGAAAAAAAAACTTGGTCAAACAAAAAGAATCCTTCAGCTATATAAAACTTATAATAAATAGTTGAAATCATGAGTCAAGTGAAACTAAACCACCATGGAAAACTTAGAAGCACTGGAAGGCCGTTTCATCCTAGTATGCGCTTAGTCATTAGACCAATAAGCCGGCATCCAACGGTGTTAATATTTAACTTCAACCAATCCACGAGGTTGCACGGCATTAATGTTGTTTACGAAATTGATAGGACAAAAAGGGAATGTCCGACACTTTAACCAGGCTGGTGGATACACAGTGTTCACTTAGGAGAGTTGGAAAACCCTGATTACAAACCAATGGTGCACATGAGCTCCAGGATCCTCAAGGAACAAATGGCGTATGAGCCTATTGTTGGTCAGCGGCTACTCTGGAACTACATTTTCTGAAGTTGCTCCAGTGCGTTGTGGACAGACCTTTAGGTCGAAAGCTCCGTGCACGGCTTCCTAAGAAAACCACCTGATTCGGTCTGGGCACCCGGCCAGTATCACAGCCCTCACATTAATCGGTGATAACAGCTACTGGCCTCATTGTTATTGTGTGGCACATATCTACTTGGTGCCTCCTTGTACCGATTTTTATGTGTCCAAAAAAGTAAGTAAATAAAATAAATACTCAAAGTCTAGTTGTATATTACATGAAGTAATCCCATCGTGTTGAACGAGAACACAAGTGAGGACAAGAAACGTATGCAGAAACTCAAAATTCAAGAGTTATTGGGTAAAATATAAATACTAAACGTTAGATACTTCATTTGCAAAATGCCCATCAATTGTCTCGTACTTTGTTGTTCCTTCATTGACATAACAATCACTCTCTGTTCTCGTTCTCTTCTATTCGATCTATTCAACATTCTGATGCCAGACATTTCACTTTCGATTAGTGTTACATACTACTTATGTCGACGGATCTAAGTAGCACACACCATACTATCACCTATTTTAAATTCCCAAAAAAACTGTAAAGATTAAACATTTATCGATTGGTCTGTTATGTTGATGACTGAATTTCGTGTTTTTTGATCATTCCTGCTATTAGTAATATTAAAAGTTTCATTTTATGTTACCTTATAACCTTTATCCAGCTATAAATTGGTGTCCTCTCTATATGTATCAGTGATTAGTGATTCAGTTTTCAATCATTGTTGATCGGTTTCGATTAACTGCAAATATTTAACCAGTCCTTACAAAAACATAAATCACTGAGTAACTAACAGTGGAATGTAAAGCGTATATTTAATTTAATTAACAATTTATCACATATAAGCGATTCAATCTTCTAACTAGAACGTAAACTACGACGGCAACAAAAAACTCATGATTTAACATATGAATAAAAGGTAGCCAATAGATGGTTTTTGAAATGATCAGTGGTCGATTTGAATTTACAATTATACTCGTTCAAATAACGAGCTGCAAATATATGCTCTCTATTGTGCTACTGTTTAAACGTAAATAGTTTTTGATGGAGTTTTGTTCTCTGAGCTGGATGGTTTGGTCGTGGAGCTTTCATCGTTCTTCTGAACGACATCATCAGCACAAATTCGGACACTTCACTTCTATCTGAAGTTTGTGCTGATGATGTCGTTCAGAAGAACGATGAAAGCTCCACGACCAAACCATCCAGCTCAGAGAACATAACTCCACCAAAATCATCCACCTGAGCTACAAATTTTCTCCACCATCTTAAAACGTAAATAGTATCAAGATATTGTTAAAGGTAACGTACAAATATCTATAAAGCCAACTAAAGCGTAGGTTGAGAAGAATAGTCAAATCTTTTAAACTAAAAATAGGTAAATATCAATATCTTCAGTTGGATGGTGTAATTTTACAATTACTATATATCAGGATAGCTCTATGATTATTTTATACACCAACTGAAAAAGAATTTACATCAGGGATAATTGTAGAATAGTTTAAATACCAGTTTTCAACTTCAGTAATATGAATTCATATTCAGTATGTTTGTTGTCTAGTGATAAGTAAGAGCAAGTATTTTATGAGGAAATTATCAATTTTTACTGAATAATTAACAGTTTAGTCCTATCTTACTGTTTAATTTAATCTTACTACTGAATTCGAGAACTTGATAAGTTATGAATTTCAACTAAATTGTAAAATTTAAAACAATTAGTCCCATTGATACATTTCGATAATGTAATGAAAAGACGAAGGTTATCAGGATTATGTGATAGATTTGCACAAAACATTGCGAACAATCTGATCACACATCTATACTTCGTCAACTAAACAGATTAAAGGTAAACCGTAACAAAGAAAAATAAAGTATCAGAAGTGGGTTTTGTAGATATTATAGTAATTCCAACGGTTGAGATCACAAATCATTTGTAACTAGATCACCATGGAAAGTCTGAAAGCACCTGTTGAACTCAACTGAGAGATAGTAACTCACTGTAGACAATGGTGAATGTGTAGCTCAATTTCGTGGATTAGTTACAGTTAGACAATAACGCCGTTGGATGCCGACTTAATGATCTAGAGGTTAAGCGCTCGCGTGCAAGACCGATAGGTCCTGGGTTCAGATCTCACGAGGCGGGATCGTGGATGCATACTTCTGTGGAGTCCCATACTAGGACGAAATGGCCGTCCAGTGCTTCCAAGTTTTCCATTGTGGTTTAGCTTTAATTGACTGATGAATTCAACGATTAAAACTAAAGTACACAAAAACAATGTGATAATCACTCTGGATAATAAATCAGTATTACCAGGGTAGGTTAAAGGTAAGAATAAATTGTTTTTGAATACATAAAGAGGGTTCCACTTTCTTTATATCCAAAGCTTCAATAAACCTTAGTATACACCCTTGAAATTATGAGAGTCCATCACAAATTTAGTCGAAATCTATCTCACTTTAAAAGACCTCGCCACTGTTTACTGGTACAGATATTTTTTTTTTAAAAATATCACATTACAATGTGTATAATTAACTGCAATTATCAATAAGATAACTTTTATTAACATAAACAAAAATCTAGTCTCGTTTCATCCCTTGATTTCATTATAGCGGCATAGATCATAATACTATGTTTACTTAATGATCTTGAATGTGTGATTTTAGATAAACTTCCTACAAAATGGTTGATTTACAACCAAGTGGTTTATATCGATTGAATTGACAGAGCTTCTCCTGAAACGTATTTTTTTTGGTAAACATATTAATGTTTAAACAATAGGTCAGATTTCCATAATTAATCGGCATTGTTTAATCAGTATGCGTTAATAATAATCATCAGAAATCTCTGAACATTATTTCCTTGCTATCTAGAACATGATAACATGGTTTATATTATGTGCATCGATACTGGTATAAAGGAATTGAAACTAGTATTACATACTGTTGAATGGTTACCTGGTATCACTGAACTATTTCGATTTTCAGCTGATTTTCTGTTAAACTAATAAGATATGAGATGGGTTATTATTCAGTAGTCCATGAGTGTAGGTACTTTATAATAACTACGACTTAATAAGTTTTTCAAATCAATGTTCTTCTCATGTATATACACTGGATTCGAAATTCTTAGTTATAAAAACGTTTACCAGTATAAAATAGATAAGAATGAGCTTAAAAACAACATTTGATGATCATAGAAGTGCAATTATAAACAGATATAAAAAATGTAAAGTTCGAATATAAAGTCATAGTGGTTACTTTATGTATCCAAGGTGACAATACAAATAATCGAAAT